TCTCCGTCTTTACGGGAAACGTTTTGGAAAATATCAGCGTTTCGTGTTCGTTTTGACTTCGTGTGGATGGGGCCTAATACAATGCTCTCAGTGCTGCGTGTGGGTGTGTTTTAATTTGCATAGTGGGAGGTGAGAGGGCCTGCTTCAGTTGTGAGAAATGTAATGGAACACTTTCTATTGGGGTTGGAGAGGAGGAGGTCTTGCCCTGGCTCATCCCACTGCGCTGCCAGTCACGTCTGCATTCTGGCCACCATGTTTGGACTTTTGAGAAACTCCGCTCCGCGTTCTCTTCCAGTTTATTCCTCAATGCTTTTGGAGGAGGACAATCTCCCCAAATTTCCCTTTGTTACACACCACACAGGAAGCTTTATCTTACAAAATTAACATACTTTATCTATAAAACTGTTTGTTTAAAAGCTGCATCATAGATGAGGAAATTAATGATAAATACAGCAAAAAGAAATACTATAAAGCTTTTTGAACCGTCTTGCTGCCTATCTCTGCTGCCTTGGCTTAAATCTTGTTGGGTCTGACAAGCATCTACATGTTTTATCTCTGCTGTTGAGAACTCACAAAAATGTGAGCGTAGGCTGTGTGTAAATCCTATATGGAATATCAACTGACTTTAGAACAATGGTCTTTTTGAGGTTTTACTCACTTAAGCCTTCACATCAATTTAAGTTATTCTTCGGTCAATACGGTTTGTGAGAAGAAAAAACACGATAAAAGGAAACTTGAAGAGGTGTAACATTTGAAAAGTTTGAGAGCTCAGTGAACACTGGCCTTGGTGGGAAACTGTACTTGCTTTGTTTTGTGTCTTTCAAGTCATACAACTCAGATACATTATCACTTGGTTGTTTCCTATTTTTTTCAATTTGCTCTTTTAGAACTGCAGATAGTGTATTTAAAACCTAAATAACAGCTTCCCTTTTATTAAAGTACAAATGTCAGAGACAGTTTTTGACCTTGTAAAGAGTAGCAAACTGAATATTTAATGAAATCCAATTAAAACTTTGTCCTACTTCCAACTCCAACTTAAAAAAAATAAAATAAATGCTTGCAATAATCTGGAATACGGCTAAACTGAACCCAGATAGAGGATTTAACACATGTAAAAATTAGATAAAAGCAGTGAATTATCATTCCTGTTTTTTTTTTGTTTTTTTTTTGTAACAGTGTCCTGTCTGGCGATGTGACAATAAAAATAATTGTCTTGATGCCAAAAAGAGCCCAACAGATTTTACTTTCACAAGTGGAGCAGTACGGCTATCGCCATAGTGTTCCGTTTGATTTATGCAAATAAATAGCTTTATTATAATTATGCAGGGAGTTTAATAGTTTATATGGACACTGCAATGTAGGTAAAACAGGAAATGAAAAACTGAAAAAAAGAGAAAAGATGAGAGAAAGAGGAGATAAAAGGGAGATAATGATAAAACATTTTTAGTCTGCTTCATCACCTGCAATGAGATGTAAAAAGAACAGCACAAACAACAGACATGGTACATGGTGCTGGCGCCGCACAATGGCAGCTCACTGCTCCCCAAGGGGATGGGTTAAATGCAGAGAAGTAATTAGAGTATAGAAAAAAAAAGATACACAGTAAAGTAACACCTAGATACTATCGCTGAACTATAAGTAGTATTATTTAATCTATGTACTCTGTGTTACCTGAAGATAAAAAATGTGGGCTTTCTGTATGGAAGTGAATCTCTGAGTACCTGGAACCAAGCACCTGTAGTTGTTTGTGAAAGTGCACTTGTGCATTTAAAGCTTATCCAAAGAAAATGCTCAATAGTGGTTGTGGAGAGCCGAAGAGGCGCCCCCCTCAGAGCACTGAGTCCAGCCCAAACCCCAGACGACCAAAGGAACCTCAAGAGTGAAGGCGCCAAGGAGGGGCCAACCCAGGAAATCCGACCCCCAACAAGGGAGGAGGAGAGACAGCCCTGCGGAAATCCCCCAGCCACAGCAATGTCGGGGCCCCCAGGAGCCACGGGGACGGGTCCGCGTGCTTCCGCCGGCAGCCAGCTACCCCGAAGTGAATCCGGCCATGGGGCCCAGGGATCCGAGGCCCCAGGGGTGCCCCACCCCCCCAGCTCTTTAGAGATGAGCCAAAAGAAAAAAAACTGGACGCGCTTTTACACATAACACTCACATCCAATAATCCCACGACCGAGGACCCGGCGGCACCGGTGGTCTGTCCCGGAATTATCAGATTATCATTTTCGTTTTTACGCACTTTGTTCTGAACACATTATTGTCATTGCATAAACCCTGATTGCTCCCCTGGGCGCCACACAATGGCAGCCCACTGCTCCCCAAGGGGATGGGTTAAAAGCAGAGGTAAATTTCTCCAGTGTGAGATCAATAAAATTCGATTATTCTTATTATCAATAATTCCCATAGCTGTCATATCAGCATAATATAATATTTGCAATAAATACCTCATGTCTTAACTTTCTATTTTTTTTATCAATCAATCACTTTACCTTTTTCACATCACCTTGTTTTAATGATTTATTATTCTCTTTATTTTGCATTGTATTGCCTTTATATGTACTTAAAATTCTCAGTAGTAGTCATACATTTCCTTTTTGTCCCCCAGAGCAGCTATGATGGGAAACTTCAAAATGATAAATACAAGTGAGTATTACCTTTAAGATCTTCATAAGTCAGTAAAAGGCTCGAAGAAAATATTGAACTAAAATTGCAGGATAATGGAGAACAGCAAGATAAAAAATAGTCTCATTGACCTTATATATATTATAAGGTATCCATATTATAATGTTTTTTATTTAAACTTTGTCTAGCAGGTGTGGAGGGAAGCCGCTGTACTTTAAGCTGAAAATAAATGTGTATTTCCAGCTATCTAGAGGAAAAAGGATCGACTCAAATTTAGCAGAAAAGTAAATAATGTCCTTTTTTTGTTGGCTGAATATATTAAAAACAAGAATAAACGTAAACTTGTTTTTTAAAACTACACAACCTAAAACTTCATAGCTGAATTGGGCAGAAAGTATTAGAACGTAAAGTAAAGTAAATTCTGATTCATGCAGGTACCAATCCTGACTCCATTTATTGAATTCAAAGATGAACTTTTCAGATAAAGCTCCTTACAATCTTCTTACTGTAGATGACAATTCACTCCAGATGTTTGCAGCTTAGACACAGACACAAGGTTTTATTATAAAAAAAAAAAAAAAAAAATCTTAATAACAGTATAAAAAAGAATGACAATGACTATTGCTTTGTAAATCATCCAGTTGTAGGTCAATGTGTAGAAAAGTATGTGGGGAAACAAGCATTATTCTAAGGGAAAAATAAGGAATGTAATGAATAGGATTCTGTGGTTCACGGCCTACTACTTCAAGTATTACAGTAAATTACAGTAAAGGACAGTTTTTTTCTTAAACAAAACAATAACTTATTTAATAAATACTAAAAAAACAGCAGAGACAAAACATAAATATAAAATAACTTTCTTTTTAAAGGGGTTGTTGATATGGTAGGGTGACCAGACGTCCTCTTTTTCCCTGACATGTCCTACTTTTTATACCTAAAAAAATGTCCAGGGGGAATTTCTAAATCGTTCAGAATTTTGGTCGACTACAGTGCAACCAATCCTCCCCGGTCCTGTCAGCGGCCCAGCAGTCGACACTTCATACCCATCCACCCGGGGTGGGACAAAAGTACAGGCCAGAACCAAATAAAGCAACATCCCGAATTAAAGCAACGCCCCGAATTGTGGTCAATTTGGGGCGTTGTTTGGATTCGCCTCTTTTATGGTGGAAGTTTAGAATTGTGTGATTTGCAGAGAAAGGAGGTGTTGATGGGGTTTGAACTTCCCTGTACGTCCATTTCACCCACTGAACTACCGTTATTCAACTATGACAATGTAAACTCTGTTTAGAAATCTTAAATACATAAGCATTATAAATATAAAAATAAATAAATAAATACAATTTTTAAAGATCTCTATTTTAAAAAAAAATCAGCATCTAGAGTTCAGAAGTCCTTTCTTTCAGAATGACTGTGGGGTTGATGTTACTGCTGCGCGAGTGAGACGTGCTGGAGTTGATGGTCATCGATCCAGTGTCTTTGACATCGGGCACATAAAAGGATGCCACCGGACAGGGACCCCGAACGTTGTTGCAGACGAGCCTCTGCAGCGAGGCGGTGTTGACGATGTCGAAGCCGACTGCGCCTCCGAAGGTGCTGGGCTTCCAGTACTCCGGGGAGCAGATTGGATTCCCCATCAAGCCTTTGAGGGAGAAAGGAGCCCCCATTTCCACCATCGTCTCCCCAAAGATGGCGTTCTGTCGGGGCTTTTCCACCAGCAGCCCTGGGTAAAGCTCCACGGCGTCAACATCGCCGTACAGCTCCTCCAATATGGCGGCCATTTCTTTGTCTCCTGTAGAGAAAAAGACAAAAAATTTGTAAGTTTGTGGCTCCATCTGCCACCAGTTTGACCTTCCTGTCAAAGGTTAACCTTTTTATTTTAACAATAAAGCTCTTGGGATTGTTTTTTTAATCTCTCCCTGAAGCTGCAGGTCTCTCTTGTAAGTTTATATCTTTGCTCTATGTAATGACATTCTGCTTACATTATGCCAGGATGAAATACACGTCTGCCTCTTACAGTAGTGGAAATAAATATCCAACCACCCAAACTGCTGGGGTGAAAGTCCAAAAGAAGGTCCTTAACAATAACTAAGCGCCGCCAGGAGCTGTGCTCAGTAGCTTTTCGAAACAATGAAGCAAGAGTCTAGTATTACGTAGGAAAGTTGATAATCTCCCTTTTAATCCTTTTACGTCATCTCCTCCACCTACATGCATTAGGATTTGCAGGTTATATTGCATTTCTCTCACCTGTCATGTCTTCAAAGGAAGTGTAAGGTTTCATGGAGAATCTCTTCCTGTAGGCATTAAGAGATTGGTAACGCATTTGTCTGCTGCTCTCGATGGACTTGATTGCCACATACAGGATGGCTCCCGGGACGTTCCGACCCCCAGCAACCTGTCAAAAAGCGTTACAGTCATGAGGCTCTGAAGCTATGTCACACTTAATATCTAACCGTTTCTGCATCTGCGTTAAGACTGCTTACCCGTCCTGCAATCTGCTTGGAAAATGATTCAACAAGGTTGTTGATGCCGTGCTCTGTCACCACAGTGGTGTTGAAGACAAACTCTTTGTAGCTGTAATCCCTCTCCTCAATGTGGAAACTGTCAGGCATCAGCGGATGCCAGTGGTACAGGGTGTTGAACTCGGATGCGATGCGGTTTTGGTACTGGAAGCGCTGGTTGAACAGCAGCTCTGGGTCGAACTTGAGTTTGAAGTGATATCCACTCAGGTGCTGAACATAGTCCTCAATCACAATTTTGATGGTCTCGCCTAGAGGGCAAAGGGATGAAATATTTAATCTAAAGTAACCTTTCCTGTTATTACTTCTTAATTTGCATTTAGAGAAACATTTCCTCTTTCTGTTACAAAAAGGAAACTAAAGTTTTGCCACTGTGATTCTCGTTCATGCTCCTCTGACCATGATCAATGGCTTTGTTCAAAGAAATGCCAAAACTAAAAATCACAACTTCCCCTACTAAAAACATTATTGCTCATTTCACATGAGCACTAATGGGAAGTAATAAGAAACATTTTTATAATCCCTTTTCAGAAGTCGGATTTTCTCACCAATAAGGATGAGCCGAGCCGTCTGGAAGAGTCTTTCGTCATCCCAGTCAGGGTGAACTTCCTTCAAAATGTCACACACTCTGTTGTGTTCACGAAGCCAAATGGTGGCGTACATCATGAGACCGGGGACCAGGCCGAAAGCCTCGTGGCCAACAGCGAAGCGCTGAGACTCTGTGATGTGTGGTGGGTAGTGCATTTCAACACCCACATCCTTAACCAGTGGTGGATAAACCTCTCCGTTTAGTATCTGTAGAGTAATTATGAGACATAATTATGAGACATAAATGCAATTTTTCAGCCTCTTCTAATCTGAAGCTTTTCTCTCTCTGCTCTTACCTGGTATTTTAGCTTGCCGTCCTTGAAAAGCCTGAGTTTGTGTTGCTTCTCCAGGTTTTCGCCATAAATGTGCCCAAGATCCACCTATAAAAAAGGTCCTGATTTATTTTTGCTCTCTAGAAGTTGTGTCTTTTGGTTTATTTGGGATTTGACTACATACCCCATGCCCTTTAGCCACGGTAAAAGCAGGTCCGTTCTTCATATCAGATTTGAAGAACTGGTGCGTGAAGTGCTGCGCGAAGAACGCAAACATCAAGCTGGTTCCCTGCGGGTCTGGAATAAACTGCCGTCTCACCAAGAGCTTCTCAGCCAAAACCTTAACATCAGGCAACTCCTTTTTACCTGGAAAAAGAAAAAAAAAACAGGAGAAACACAAGTTTAACACAGACAGTGGTAAACCAGTTTATGTATGTGATATAATTTAAGGGCTAGGATCCAACATTTAGCTTTTGAGATGCTCGGACAGGTTTGGGCCTGCCTGCTCAAGATTATTTCCCCTCATTCCAAAGTGACACGAAAGTTTTTTTTGTAATCTTCCATTGATGTAATTGGAACAGGATGCTCATGTGCTTAAAATAGGAATCTAAGAAAACTGGTTCTCGTGAGGCAGAGAAAATGTACTCACCTACTACTCCCATAGGGGTTGGGCAACCCTCAGGTACAGGCGGAAGGGCACGAGTATAGTAGGATAGGTTAGAATAGGCTTCCCAGCTTTTGTATCCATAATCAGCATTATAAGTGGGAGGACTGTCGATCATATGGGATCGAGCTGGATTAAACAAAACAAAATAGAATTAATCTTTGCATTTTCTCCTTTTAAATAATTTCTAAACAATTTAACTGAGAAGTGAAGGGGCTTACATGTCAGCACATATTTCATAATGGCATCTCTTAGGAATGAGATGCTGTTGATGATGTTCCAAAATCCTTTGAAGTGAGTCAAGATGTAATGAACAGTGTTGGGCGAAGGCTTGAGGGAAACTTTTATCCAGGTGAGGAATTCAGCTGCAAATGACAAATATGAGGAAGATGAGCAACTTAACGTCAACAGCAATTCAAATTTAAGCATCTTAAATTACTCTTAGTCATAGACTTTCTGTGCTACTTACGTGTTGTACAGTTTTGTCCATAAAATCCAGTGCGTGTGCAGTCACATTCATAATTATCTGAACCCATGGCTGTGCAGACCCCCCTGTTCTGGCATGGCTCTGAGCAGCAGGGGTTTGTTGGGGCTGCCTCATCTAAAAAAACACATTTTTTAAATGAGATAAAGCTTTTTTTTTTAACATTTCCATGACATCGAATCACTGACACCAGTTATTTAACTAAGAGAAAATGTATGCAAAATTAACCAGTCATTTCCTTACCTTTTTTACAGAAAGAAACGCTGACTGCTAAAATTAAAACTGTGATTGTAAGTCCGTTCATGCTCTTTAAGACTGTATCCTTCTGCTGTGTCTTCTTCTGACTGTAGTTGCTCTTTCTCTCCTGTGCTTCTGTGTGAACTGAACCAGTGCACCTCCAGTTATAGCCCTTTTATAGCTACAACACAGTCCCACCCACTTAGAGAGAGACGGATGTAGAAATTACCCTCTATAGGTCACTCAGTGAAATACTTTGAAAATCAAAATTTCCAACCAATATTGTTATTGGAATCCAGGACAAGACCTTATCACCTTTATAACATTAAAAAAATATGGATGGCAAAAATGAATGTCAATGTAATAACAAGAAATGCCAACTTGCCTGAATTTATTAAGAAAAATGACAAGTTTTCTATAAGAAATTCATGAAAAACACTCTAAGAGTGAAAGAAACACAGTTTTTGGTACAACATAACCTTAGAGGCATTAATGTTGATACTCACACTTACTTTCTTTAGTTTATATACATACATATAATTGTTAACTAGGCTTATTAACCTTTAACTTCACTTTTTAACCTTTAATTAGCTTTTTACCGTTTTTTCTTGACTTGTTAACTTGTTTTTCAACACAATTTACATTAGGTAATATATATAATAGACCTCAGTGAGGGACAGGAGGGAAGGGGATGCAAGTGATCAAAAATTGTAACTTGTCCTATAAAGGATTAAGTGTTTGGATATAGTTCTCAGAAGTGGCTTTAGAATTGGATAAAGTTTGATCCACATTTTAAAATAGATTGACTATCTAATCATTATTGTACATATTACATATGTTGAAATTGCTTCTATAACTGGTGCAAATAGCTTTATGGGAGGAAAGTCACACAGAATGAGACTCAAAACATCATTATTTTAGATATTCAAGCCTTGAGTTTATCGGATACGGAAAATTAAAGTGTTTTTTTCTGTATATAGATTATAACTCTGATATTATCTACTTTTTGTGTGTTTTATCGACCAACCTAGACCTAAATAACTTAGATCTTACCGCAGATCACTTTATATCAACCAAAACATTTGTATTCATTAATTATACATGATATGAGAATTATTGATTTTCGCCTAATAAAAAATGAATAAATAAAGAGATCACGCGTTTTTAAGAACAAATTTGAGAAAAAAAAATAAAAACTTTATTAATTTTATTGTTATTGTATTATATTTAAATAGATTAATCATTTATGAATAAGCAGTAGAGTGAATCAGAATGGAATCAGTTGATATATATATTTTTTTTCAGTAGTTGTCATTTATTTTACACATACATGACGTGTAGTTTTAGATTAAGTGGAAAAGTGCCACCTTGCGCATCGTGGAGGAAATTACGCGCTGGCGCTTTGACAAGTTTCACTGTGGTGAGACATCATCGCTTCTTCCTGCTGCGTCAACTTTTGTTTGTTGATTCAATCCTGGATTTCCACCATCATCCTTTTTCCCAAATTTAGCCTTTTTTTTTAATCCACTTATTTGTATTAATTGCATTAGTTTGATCGCTGAAATCTTCCTGACTACCGGGTGCCGAGAAGCGCCTCCTCCTCTAACTCCATTCCTCAACAACCATATGATCGCTCAACATGACACATTTAAATGGATCTATAAGTTGAAACCAACTCTAACTCCGGTACGTTTCTGTTTTCTTCTTTATTTGCACAATAACTTTCCTCTTTCCTGAACGAGAATCGGACGGATGCGTAAAGATGTGCATAAACCCGATTTCAGCGCAATGGTTGAAGGGTTAACGCAGCGTCTCCGTATATCTCCACGCTGAATAAGGAAGCTGAAAACTTTTTAATAATGCGCGTTAAAGTGCATTTCAAATTTCTACCTACATATGTGCGTTTTAACGCCATTTTTTTTTAAATTGTGGATCAACATTTTGTTGGAAGGGATCGATAAAAAGTTCCCTATAGTTTAAACATTGGTGAGATTGCATTTTCCTTTTTAGCTCTTACTATCATCTGTATTGTTTTGCATAATCAGACATAACGCATTAAAGTGAATAGACATAACATAGTAAGGTCGTCTGGAAAGTATCAGGTCAAACCAGTTGTTGGGGTCGATTGGCCGGTTTTTTTGTTTTTAGAGAAGCTTTTGAAACACTGCAAAGTATTTCTCACTTTAATAGTTCTTCTACTACAAAATACTTCATAAGTAATCCTCACTTTGTGTTGTTTTAATGTCTCCGGTTATGGCCTGCGTATGAAGAGCATCTATTGAAAGTTGGATTACTGCAGCTGTTTTGCATCATGGCAGCTTCGCTGTACTTTATGAAAATGTTAGAGCCCAGGGGCCCCTGTCCCTGGGGCCGCCAGGACGCGCGCGCTCTTTGTGTGCTGCAGAACCGGGCCAGTCAGTGCTGAAAGCTGGCACCTTCACAAGATGAAGCCTTTTGTTGCAGAGTACGTGAGGGCTGCAGTGAATCCACAGCCTCTACGTGCTTCTCTGCCCCCCCTGGACATTAACACGCTTTGATGAGCAGCTAAGAAATGACTGAACTGGACTTTCAGCTGCTTTCTCACCGCCACATGTGAACCGTTCGTGCACCATTCATGCAAATTTCTGGAGAAGAAAAAAAAGAAAAAGTTATTTGTGTGGCTAAAAATAATCAGCCTGTCACCTCTTTTGCAAATAAACACCAAGCTTTACATTTTGCTGCCGGGTACGTGACACAGCAACCTATTTGTATATTCCAGTAATGGGTATAAAAACGGATATTTTAACCCTTAAAGCCACAAACCATTTTTTTTATAGACAAACATAAATTATAATTGTGAAACTTCTTTTTTCCCTTTTTCTTCTTTTTTCTCAATAACATAAATCTGAAAAGTGTGGCATACATTTTGTGGTGGTCCCCCAACCTAAATGAGATTCAGCCAGTTGCCACTAGTGTTGCGCAGATGCAATTTTTGGGCCCGATACCTGGCTATCAGTGTTGGGAAAGTTCTCTTTCTACGTGAACTAGT